AATATCGAGCATGAGTGTGCAGCAAGTCAAATTAATGTTCGGCATCACTAGTAAACTCTGTAGGCCGGAAATTTTGAGCAGCCTTCTTCATCAGATATACCGGAGGAGCTGCTCGAATCGTCTTCTACAACTGGATCTATATAAATATAAACAATTACATATAGATATGCAGATACCAGATTTGCAAACCCAAGAGTCTAAATCGTAAATTTTATTTTTACTTACAAATATGAGTTTCTTCTTCGTTTTCATTAGTAGTATTTCAATTATAATCGTGGTATCTTGTTCGAGATCAGCAGCTGCAGCTTGACGCATTACGCTTACGCCTGATTCAAACATTGAAAATAATTGTTCTAGCGGAATCATAATATCCAGCATTGAAAGTATCTGAAACATACAATTTATAAAACTTCCTCTGGTTTATGTTTAAAATATCTGATGTACCTGCAGCCAATGCAATGCTTGTTGTTGTATTTTAGCTGTAGTATTCTCGAATCGTACGGCGACAAATCTGTACATCATATGAGCGTCGAATCCAAGAGGATTCATTTCAGGATCAAGAATTTTGCTAAACACTACTTTTTAATTCCGGCAGTTCGTTTTCTGGGACATCACTGCTTACGGCTTCCATCCAATTTGGCATTATCTGATCCCAGATTTCAGGTGTAATGACTTCGTAGGCACCAAACAAAATATACGATGAAGTCCATCCTTGAGATGGGAAGTTCTGCATATAAAAAATAACTAGTTGGTATTGGTATTTTGCCTTGAGGCAAGTTACCTTGAGTTCCCGATATGTGTGAATAATTGACTTATTCATAAATATAAATTAATTTATGAGTGATTAAAGTATTCCGAGTGGATTTATTACACATATTTGAATACGAACAAACATGTTAACTCGGAGTATTTTCTAAAAGCAAATTTTCCAAAATCAATAATTTTTATAATTGAACCACTTTCCGTAGGACTTTAATGATTTAGTATGTCATTAAGATCAAGTACTCCCAGTTATACGAAATAAATCGTCTATTTTAATTTTAACAAACGTCAAAAAAAAACTACTCATTTTCTCAAACTTTGATAAATTTTTAAATTTAACTATTTGTCCTAAGGCCGTAATATTTTAGTAAGTTAAATAAGACCACGGTATATATCGCCAAAAAAGTTCCATGAAAATCGGCTTAATTTTTTTTCAAACAGTTAATTTCACCTGAAACTAATCAGTATCATTCCCACTGATATCGTTCGAACAGTTTTTGATGTTTTAAAGATCAATTAGGTTAGAACTGCATCACTGGATGCAGATCTTAGCTTTTTTTGCTTTCTTTGTTAAAATTCTAAGCCATGCATTGATTTTATATCTCCTGTCGATAGATGATCAAATAAAATTATTAAAAAAAAAAAAAAAAAAAAAATCAATTAGGTAGTATAAGCTGAAAGTATGGACGAAAAGTTTACACTTTTTTCTAAGTTACAAAGAAACGGCTCAGCAGATCGTCGCACAAAACTGAGAAAAGATAATCCACATCGAGATACATAGATGGGCTTTTAATTTTTGAAATGGTCTAGCCGTTTTTGAGAAAATGTCGATGAAAGTTTTTCTTTTCGTCGTTTCGTTTTTCAACTTTTTCCAAATTTGGTCTCATTCGATTCAGAATGGCTTGAAACGTCTAGAAAGCATAAAATTAGCAAATCGGATTTTTTTATGAAAACATAAACTTCTCCTTCTGGAAGTTAATAATATTCTGAATTTTGAACACAATTTACCTGGATGCAAGTGTATCCCAGTGACCACCGACTCTGGAGTATTCAGGTGGATGTGGCAGCAAGCAATTAATAAATTCTTCGTAATGCGACTTACATATATCCGCTAACCAAGGACAAACGTGTTGCGTTTTTAATTTTTCCAATGTGCTTTCCGCTTGACCAGCTTGAGGAAATATAAGATGAATCATAAAATCATTTTAGGCTAAAGTATAATGGTTAAGAGTATTTATCAATAACCTTCAAATGTATAAGCGGTTACATGAAACCAGTGGAACAGCATTGAAAGCAATCGGCCAAGTGTTTCAACTGGTGTATCTGGTGTGGGTGCACAAAGTCCAACCAGCAACCAAATACCATATCGACCAAGTAATTGTCGTTCCTCAAGTGTAATACAATCACCAGCAGGCGTCGATACTGGCTGCGGTTTTAGGTCTAAAGATTCCTTGGTAACGTCAAAACTCAATGGACGTGCCTCTTTCAATAAACTAACAGAAAAACAAAATATAATGATAATTCAGATGATTATTATTTGTTCTTTATAATTATACTAGATGACCCGACAGACTTTGTCCTGTACCCATGTCTAAAATTTTTTAATATAATAAACTAATATTTACCGTTTACCTAAAAATAATAATTATTGTTTTTTTAAATTACCCTTCACGCCAAAATGCTAAGTCATTTATAATATGAGCGATTTTAAATGTAGAACTACTTTAAATAAAATGATGAGTCACAATTCTCATACTATATTGGAAATTGAAGTCTTTTAAACGGTATAACATAACCATAACCATAACATAACACTGGTACTTCATGTTGGATTAAATTAATTTAATTTTTTATTATTTATGATATCCAAAATTGCATCTTAAACTTCTCTTAATTATATTGAAAAAAAAATTGATATCCGAATCTTGTGATGGCTCCCCCTAAGGCGTGCGCTTGTATTTTTCGCATGCATCGCATTAAAGGTAGGACCGCCACTGATTAATAAATAATTTCATATTTTAAGTGAATTAATTTGTCATATCCTGTTCATATGTGTATCATTCAATCTATACATTTTAATTTCTGGCACATCTCAGCTGATTTTTGGCAATAATAATGTAGACATTTCATTTTTCTTATTCATAATCATAAATTTATTATACATAATCTAATATTGCCTAGGTTCATAAGTAAGCAAATAAGTTAGCAAATTATAGTTTTCATTTGTTTTCAATGAAAACAATGACATGTCTTTTTTTATTATTTTTTCCATTTAAGTATTTCTACAATATTGCACATACATACCAGTACTTTATAATCACATACATCCTAGAAAATTTCCTTAACAAACTTCAGAAAGATTTGTCAAAATCCGAATAATAGTTTAGGAGGAGTATACAATGAGTGCTTGTAATTAAATATGAACTTTATATAATAACAATAAAGCTCAAATTGATTTTTCGTTTAGTTAGAAAACGTTTGTATGAGAAAAAGAAAAGGCTGTTTTTAGGGTTTTCCCGGCGTTTATTCGATTTTTTCTCGCCGTAAGAACCATCCTTGAATATCAATGAAAATTTGGAAAATTGGTCCAGGCGTTGTTCAGATGTGCGCTTATCAACACATTTTGCGATTCATTTTTATATATAAGATTACCTAACAATAGCTTCGACCAGGTATGTTTGCATCTCAGCGTCCATTTGCCAAGCAGGTGGAAGAGATCTGTGTACAATATGATCTCCACCTCGCCTACTATTATGCCTATTGCAATGGCATTGAAGGCAGTACCTTATAGGATGATTTCCATTATAACTAGCGCATTCTGCTGAGAAACAAATTGATACCGCCGATTTATCTGTTGCTCGACAATTCTGTAAGATTAAGATGTTTACACTTGCTATATGCATACTCGTATATAGTGCAGTAAACGGAGAAGAAAAAAGGGTATAACTCTGAATTTATTTACTGTGCTCCGATTTGCATGAAATTTTGGATTTAGGTTAATCTTACTCTCAAGTTCAAAAGCGATCGATCAGTTTTCGGGTCATAACTTCTTTAACTTTGACTCCATCACAATTTGTAATATACCATTTAAAAGGTAAATAAAAGGGCTACTACTTTTTTAATCAAAATTTTTTTCGTAACTGTTCTCATTTTGAAACGGCGAAGGGTTAAGGGTAGAGAGAGACTCTGATTGCGCAGCCGCGCACTCTTTAACCAATCATAACTCTGTCAATTTTTGTGTGGAAGAAAGATAATAAAAAGCAATAATTAGCCAGAAAGAGTTCTTTGATTTTTATCTATATGCTTTTATACGTATCTTTTATTATTTTTGAGATATAATGAAAATAAGTTCGATTTTTAAAAAAATCGAAAAAAAAATATTTTTATTAAATCTTGAGTTTTCTGAAAATAGTTTGTACTAAAGTAGTGAATTTGCTCGAATCCTTCAAGATCTTTATTATAAAGTGAATTCTAGATGGAATGTGAATAACTTGAATTTTGGTGGAAATGGCGCTCTTAAACCATATTTGCATGATAGCTCACTCATTTTACACGCAAAAAGCTTGTAACAGAACTCATTTTAAAGCTTATGTTGAGCACTCTAAAACACAATTTCACTGAAATGCACAAAATGTAACACCTCGCCGCTAGATGGCTTTAAATACAACAACTAAATTATTGTATTAATATTATTTTAAGAACTTAATATTATTTCTAGAACACTTTATAAGACATCTATTTATCAATGTTTTTATTGACATTATTTTGTTCATTACATGATTTTCGTTAAAATGTATATTTTAGGAGATATTTGCAAAAAAAAAAACGAAGATAAACGCCAAAAATATATGAATTTTTAGTAAACATTAACTTTTTTTGAAAAACTTTAGAGGATATTTTTTTCTTATAATTAGTTCTTCTATCGATATCTGAAGTTATTTTGAAAAAATTAAATTACACAACTGAAAAGTATGGTGTCATCCCCCGCGGGGTAGTGGCGGAGTCCGAATTGTTTTCACTTTTAAACATGAGGGTGGGTGGGAAGATGAACCTAATTCTAAAATTTTATGCAAATTGGAGCACATTGATAGGAGTAATATTAGATTTACCACCTACTTTGTTCTCGCAGATCATAGAAACTTGTTGCATCGGATGCAAAGTATCACTGAATGCCTGATTCGGGTGTTCGCGATGAATTTCATTGGCACATTCGATGCATAAATACAAGGGCGGCGGAGAATCAGAGGCATAAGTAATACTTATGCAGTGGTCGTAACAAACTTTACTTGCTTCGGCAGCGCCGCCACTGGGACAATTATCTCTTTGGCACGGTAATGGTGAAAGATCACCTAAAAAATTATTCAAGACCATTGACAAATAATGATGTTGCACCTTACTTTATTTCATCTTACTTGCAAATTTGCACAGCAATCCTTTACGATCGAACAGATTTGCATTAAATGCTGGCCAGTAGTAAAACAATAGTTTGGCAGCTGAAGCCCGAGATGCAGCAGTACCATAGGCTATAACGCATAACAAATCTTTAACTACGTTTTGTTTTAGAGCCATTAAGCACTCTAATAGTTGACAATGGTGTGCTGAAAATATACGCATATTATTGACATATTATTCAAAATTTTCAAGTCACCTGAATAGAACATAATAAGCATTACCTGGATTATTGGAGTATTGAAAAACTAACATAATAACAGCCGCTACAGATTGACAAGCCTGGCTTTCTAATCCATCTTCAGTATGACGAGCTATTAATTACAAACATTTTAAAAATTTATTACTTTTTTAAAAAAGACTGTAAAAACTCTTCCAAAAACTGATATATAAATTCATCGGTTATGCAGAACGTTGCATCAAGTCTATCTTTAACTTTTCGAAGGAGAAGTTTGTGTTCATCAAAAAATCCGATTCGCTAATTTTATGTTTTCTCGACGTTTCAAGCCATTCTGAATCGAATGAGACCAAATTTGGAAAAAGTATGATTTTTTGCCGCAAATTGCCGTTTTCTCAAAAACGGCTAGACTGATTTCAAAAATTTAAAAGCCATTCGATGTATCTCGATGAGGACTATCGTTTGTCAGTTTTGTGCGACGATCGGCCGAGCCGTTTCTTTGTAATTTGAAAAAAAGTGTTAAACTTTTCGTTCACATTTGAGCTTATACTACCGAATCGATTTTAAAAAATCAAAAACTGGTCGAAAGATATTAGCTAGGAATGATACTGATTAGTCCACCGAGCCGTTTTCTCGTAATTAACTGTTGAAAAAAAAATTAGCCGATATTCATGGAACTTTTTGTGGCGAAATATATATCATGGTCTTTGATGGTCTTATAGAACTTACAGAAATATTACGGCATTACGACAAGTAGTTTAATTTTGAAAATTCATCAAAGTTTGAGAAAATGAGTAGTTTTTTTGACGTTTGTTAAAATTAAAATTAGACGATTTACTTGGAATAACGATAGAGTACTTGGTTTTAATGAACATACGAAACCATTAAAGTCCTACGGAAACTGGTTCAATTATAAAAATTATTGATTTTTGAAAATTTGCTTACTCCGAGTTAACGTGTTCGTTCGTTTTCAATTATGTGTAATAAATCCACTTGGAATACTTTTTATCACTCACAAATTAATTTATTTTTTATTGATTAAGTCGATTATTTACACATATCGACCAATATCAACTAGTTAGTAAATAAGCTTTGTCATTGTTTTGAATTCTCAGTCTTATTTATTACCATGTATACTTACTAATTGTAAAGGGAAGAATGAAGAAACATAACGAATTTATAACTTCTTGATGAAGAGTAGGTGGCAATGCTAACATGCATGATGCAGCAAGAAATGGTATATTGTCAATCATATCTTGTTCCAAAAATGGCAACAGGCAGCCCAAACATTGTAGCAATGATTGTCCAAAAGCTAAAAATGTTGAAAATGGTAACAAAAAATGTCAAAATAAAAAAACGCAAAGCTTTATACCTTGTAATCCGTACTGAACATAGCCTGCGACATCTAATAATTGCACTAAAGCATTATAAAGACCTTTGTAATCTAAATTTGGATAAAGAGCCATTCGTAAATGATCATTGTCTGGAGAACGCAACATATCTAACGGCGACGCTGGAACATCTTTTAGGACAGCTAAAAAAAATTGCATTAATGGAAGATAGATCCATTAATTCATAAATAATTTAAATAATAGTTATATTTATTATTGGACTTACTTAAAAGAGTTTGAGAAAAATATTTAATTGTGTTGGCAATGTCCAGGCCAGAAGGCACTGGCATAACGCCGTGCAGAAGTCGAAGCTGGTAGTCGTATAAGCAGCGAATCTTAGCTGTAACTGCAACACAATTTTATGAAGATTAATTAATTAATTGAAAATTTTTCTATAAATGACATATATCAATTATAAGAAGGTTGTCATTGATTATAAGAACAGAATAGACGTCCATCCTAACCAACTAGCATGTCATTTATACCAGGAAGGCCAGCCGGCTAGGCTTAAAAGAAAAATACTTGGAGACCTAATATAGTTTAATTAATTATAAAACTTTCATTTTACTACATTATTGTTACTTTTTTAAAAAAAATACAAAATAATTAAAATCCATATAATTTTAATGAACAACATTTTCAATTTTATATAATTATTATCAAATTAATTACTTACACGCAGCTGCCCGAGTTCCCATATTAATCAGCTGAATTTTAAAACTTCCGTGCATTTTGATTTTTTGTAATAATCAGCTAGCCAAAATTGATCAAGAAGTTATTTTTAATTGATTTTTAAACTGCATCACGACAGAGTTATTTACTTGCATATTGTTCCACTTCCATTATTAACAAAAATTGGTTTATTTAATAAATTATAGAATGACATTTTATGAACATCTTTATTCTATCCCCAGATAAATATCTGGATGCTGCTAGAAAATCAATAACCCATCCCCCATTTGCCCCATTCATCCCCATAGCATGTTTTCGTACCTTTCATTGCGTCTCACAACCAAAACGGTTTAAGTTATATACAAAATATATATACAAACATTAATTTAATTTTAGTATGTTGTTTATTATTTTGTTACATTTTATTATAATTATTACTCTATTTGTTTTTGACCATGCAACAACCAGAGCTTTTTATTTATAACTAGTTTTCTAAGCCAACCCAATGGTTGATTTATGGTTAACATATTTTAGTTTTGGATCAATTTTTTTATTAGTGAGCATTTCATGTTGTTGCTTTTCTAATTGTGATTATTGGGGCAATTCTGCCTTAACAGAGCTCATAAAATAGCGTTGTCATAGCAACGCTCTATTATGTTGTTTTTGGTAGTGAGAATTATGAAAATGTCTATCTATTTGCTATGCAGTTATCATAACATTCTCCCTTGCTTTGTCTTAAAAAACTGGTTAACACGAGTCATTTTTGAGAAACCGTTGATATAATTTTTCCAATTCTGGTATCAAACGATTCCTAATGACTTCAAACGTCGAGAAAACATAAAAGTAACAAATCGCATTATCTAGGAAAAACATAACTTTTTCTTCAGGAAATTAAAACTTATATAACATGCGTCTAATGTTTGTTTAAAAATTTGTTGGAAAAGACAAACTTTTGTCAGAGGTCTAGAACTTCTATTTATCTTTTATCTTTACAAATGTGTGGCTAAATAGTAAATTAAATATTTTGTTTAATAAAAAGAGCAAATGAAAATATTACTATCGGATATAATTGATGTTAATATTATTAATTGATCTAAATATTAATTATCAGATGTAATTGATGAGATAAAAGTCTGAGTACAGTATTAAATTGGATTCAAACATTTGTTTAAGTTATTATTTATATTATAATCTGATATTGACTTAAATTAAAATGAAAGCACAATATAATATAAAACTGTTTTATTATATTTTCTAAATTTCATATAAACTTATAGATATAATCCAAACATGCTTATTCTAATCTGCTTAAATAAAACTGAGAACTATATTTTTCGATGATAGTCAGGACTGGCATTGACAAAATCTTGCATATTAAATAATGTTGAACTGTTTTTCACTAAATATTTTAAAAAGTCTTGTATATGAACCATTAAAGTTGCTACTGATTTTTCATCTAATTGAGTAAAAGCTAGCAATGATCCCAAACGAACAAATAATCTCAAAAGAGGTATAGAACCATATATCTCAGACATCTTTGTATTGGGATGATTTTGTAAAATTTCTGCATATTGTGGTCTTTCAAATTTATATAGTTAATTGGGAACCTAAATAAAACATTAAAATATTCTAAAATTCCTCTTGCTACTTCTACAAGAGCGGATTCTATTAATTAGAGTTGTGAGATTTGCTGCTTTGTTTTTGTTGGATGTAGTCATCAATGATTTGAGAAACTGTATTCCTTGCTGGCAATGCAAGCAGTTTTCTTTGCCGACAAATTGCATCCCAATCATCGACTAACCAAGGTTGTAACTCATCTGGTATTTTTATTTTGATTTCAACTTTTGCCATAAACTGCTCTTCTGATTCAACCCCGTATCAACTCTGCTTCGTTTCCGCCTGAAAAAATCATCAAATAGTTTTAAAACAACTATTTTATCACAAATATGTTATTTTAAATATTTTACTTTGAAAACATCGACTGAGTCTTGGGATAAAAGGTGTAGCCAGTTTTTAGTCCGTGAAGCTGGTGTGTGACACTGGTCCATCTTGACTTGGTGTTGAAGATCTAGATGTTCCTTCTTTTTCCTCTTTCCTTAGTTAGGGAAGTGTCAGCTTTCTTAAGTTTTGCAGCTATAATTTTTAACAAAATATAATATTGATTTGTTTATTAAATATGATTGATATTATTCAAATTAATTTCTTACTTCTCCCAAAACTGATTATTTTGTTTTAAAGTACTCACATTTTTTTGCCTTAGCGGATTGTGAAGAATGTGCCTTTTGAACTTCTTTTTGTTTTTGCACATTTGTCTCATTATTTCAAAACCCTGCTTTCTGGAACCCACTCGTCCCAACTGGAAATAAACAAGAAATTGCACAAATGTGCTGAAACAATTCTTTTGAAATGAAAATAAATTATATTAGAGAATTAATTGAGAATTCAATACTGATAAGATATAACAATTTCTTGTTTTTAATAACTATTTCTAGTGTATGTTTAATGTTGTGAGTAGTATTTCAGTCCCTATACTATACTTTTTATTCCAGCCTGCATAGTGTATCAAATATTTTATTTGCTTTTCCTTCGTAAGAGAACTCTTCAAGCATTTGGCTTCATAGATTAAAGGCCATGGAAACAAAGTACTTTTTCACCTAAAATATGTGCATAGGATTAGCATTTATTATGTATATAAAATTAACGAATCTCACCTTCGGAAAATTTGAACTTTGGAGCCATTTTTGAAAAATTCTTTACTTAAAATTGTGAAATTGTGTTCAAAAATATAAATATGAAAATGCACACAAAACAAAAGGACAATTGCGAACTGTCAGAAGAACGCTTTGTATATAATAATAGCCAACATTGAAAAAATTGTAAATCTGGTTTATTCAAAACGTAGGTCGCCGCCACACAACATATGATATATCTTTATCCTAATATTATCCTAATATATAGGGCTGCTGCCACACATCCTGTAAACACATGAAAAACTAGTTTGGTCTAATTTATAAGTTTTTCACATTTTGTCTACAAGGAACAAATAATGAAAATTCTGTTTTTTTGTAAATTTATCATGCATGCCAGCGGTCTACGAAAAATCATGTTAGACAACTTGAACATTTGACTTGTCAACTTGTCATGACCATCATGTCGTTTCTTATTATTCTTACTCAAAAAAACCTTACTCATACATTACACGTTTCTTGTCATTACTCCTTTATTATCGTATTTTTTAATCATATATTTATATTCATATAATTTTAAAGATACAGTATATTAATTTTTAGCAATACAATTTTAATTAATTATTAAGCATTAAGTATTAAGTTTAATTTTATATATTTACTTTATGAGTTTAAATTTATTGTATAGCTATGGCTAATATAGATACATTATGCATTGAAAATTTAGAAATGAATTCGAAAGAAGTTTATCTCAAAGCGAGTGAATATTATTGAAGCTATTAAAAAACATAGTAGATAATCCAGATAACCAAACTTATAAAAGTATAAGAGTTACAAATCCAAATATATCTTCAAATCTACTAAATGCTCTAGGAGCTGAAGAATGTCTGCTCAAAATAGGTTTTGTTAAAGTATGTAACACATTAATTTCAAAGGAAAAGAATAATTTTGTCCTTACATTAAATTAAATAAATATATTCTAGAAATTGTATAGGTCAAAATATTGTATTACATTTGAGTGTTTCACATCTTTGAAATAAGTTATCTGTTTCAGTTACTTTATATAATCTTGTACTTAATTTTAATATATATGCTTAATATGCTCAAGTGCTCAGAAATAATATAATATCTTATGACTATTACTCAATTATTAAGTTGGTTACTGAATTAATGCTGTCTTTTCAGATAAATGATCGATTAACTTTATCACCAAGTATTTCTGTAAATTCGATATATGAATATTATGAATATTTATTAATACGAAGAACAATTATTTTATCTCAAACTGATGCAAATAATGAAAGCAAAGTTGATAGTACTTGTGACAAAAAACCCAAAATACAGACAAATATAGAATCTGAACAGATTAAGAGTGAATACGATCAAAACCAGCCGTCAACTAGTAGAGGCTCCAGGAGTGAATTGATGAAAAGTGCCCCAAAAACAATATTAGTAAATATTTATAATAAATATCTTTTAGTTGCTTCAGTTATTTAAACAAAACTTTATTGTTGTTTATAGAAATATCAATTTTTTTTTTTATAGAACGCACCAAATCAATTTTTGCGATCCTTAGAGACACATTCCTTAGCTGTACTTGCTTATGAAAATCCTGCATTATTAAGGAAGGCATTAAGCTGTATTCCAGTAGTACAATTAGAAATTAACGCATTGGAAAGAATGAGAAGCATACAGAAGTCTATAAAGTCTGGTAATATATTGCGAAGAGAGATTATAATAGTGTTCATGTTCATCATTTTGTTTTATGTACAAAATATTATTTAGGAAGTTATATAGGCAATGAACCATTAATTGAGGACTTGATTTTACTGGAGTTACTAGATTGGTTCAAAAATCATTTCTTTACCTGGGTTGATAAACCATCTTGTGAAAATTGTGGAAATGAAAGTACAACTTTTGCTGGCAACTGTATTGTTGCTACTGAAAGGGTTGAGGTCAGTTAAAATACAAATCTTTACTGTTTTTGTATAACAAAATATTAATAGACTCAAAAAACTAACCTGATTGCTTTTCCAGCAAGGCATAAAAAATATCATTACTGGAATTTATCCTCGAAAAATACAAAAACTAGTTTATTACTATTTCTAGGTGTACAGGTGCAATTCATGTGCATATAAAACAAATTTTACTCGTCATTGCGACCCAGAGATTTTATTAAGCACTCGAAGGGGAAGATGTGGGGAATGGGCTAATTGTTTTACTCTTTTATGTAGAGCTATGGGATGGCCTGCCAGACATGTTATAGATGAATCAGATCATGTGTGGACGGAGGTAAAAATAAGGCTTTTTTTTCTATTACACACATTTTTTCTATCTTACTTTATCTTAGCTTACCTGTTATTATTTTTATTATAAGGTATATAGTGAAGGTGAAGGTCGATGGCTTCATTGTGATCCCTGTGAAAATGTATGTGATAATCCCTTAATATATGAGCAAGGTTGGGGAAAGCAACCAAAATATATTATTGCCTATGCATGTGATGACGTACAAGATGTTACATGGAGGTATACAACAGATTTTAAAGGTGTGTATATTAGTGTTCTAATTACAATGTTTTTTTATTGTAAGTTATGTTATTTATATTTAGGAGCTTTAAAAAGAAGAAATTTATGTTCTGAGGAAGAACTTTTAATGACCATAGAAAAATTAAGGAATCAGAGGCAGAAAAATTTATCAGTAAATCGTAAAAAGTATTTAGCAAAGAGAACTGTTGAAGAATTAGTAGAATTTATGACTCCAAGGTAATTTATATATAAAGTCCGAAGAGTCCAAATTATATATAATAAGTAAATAATATTGTAAAGCAAATTTGTCAAAACCAAATTGTTTATTTTATTTGCAACCTGTGTTGCATCTTAATCTCATCAGGCTTGTTAATTAATTTTTAGAAATCCTAAAGAATCAGAAAAACAAGGCCGAACCTCTGGATCTCTAGGTTGGCGTTTAGCTCGTGGTGAAACAAAAGAGGAGTCTAATCAATATGTTTGGTATATTGACGAACTATCATTTCCTTCACTAGAAATTGATAAAAAGTGTTTCAAAATGCAGTATTCTATTTGTCAAGATTTGTACGAATGTGTAGATAATAAAAATAATATTATAAAAACCATAAAAGGCTGGAATAAGGGGATATACTTCACCAAAGATGTGTTTAGAAAAGAAGAACGAGATTGGAAAATGGTTTATTTAGCAAGAAAGGGTTGGTTTATAATCTAATAATAAAAACTTCTGCTTATCTACATACAATTAAGAAATTATGGTGTTTTGTTTAAAACAATTTTAGAAAATGCATCTGAAGGCGAGTTAGTATGGCGTTTCGCTATAAAAGATCAAAACCATGTGATTGAAGATATAAATGCAAAAATTAAAACGGATGTATTTGAGAATGGCAATATATCCTGCATGATCTGCAGTGAAAATATTTGTCTGCGTGTCAAACAAAGTATGATTTTTTTTTCTTTTCTGCACAAACACATATTAGTAAATATTATTTTTTTTAGGTAATACAATTCAAAACTATACTGATTTTAAAGGACAAAAATATATTGAAATCAAATTAAAGTTATCTGGCGGAAAAGGTTCTGTGTCTTGGCAACATGCTCAGGTGTTTCGACAAAAAATGTCTTCCATAGCATTACCGATGCAAATTAATATAACTATAAAAAGTATTTAATTAGCATTATAATTGATATAGATGTATATATTCAAGTTAATATAATATAGTTTGATAATATTTTTTTGTTTTTTATTAACCTTATTTCCTAGTATTTATAATCAGACAGATTGAATTTGTTTTACAAGTTTTGAATTGCAAGCTTATTTCAGGACTTGTTTGTTAATTTTCTTATAATAATATATTATTTAAATAGTATCATTAGTTCATGCATTCATTAATTAAGAAAGATTATTATAACTTGTTGTAATACTGCATAACATATTCTACACTCTATTTTATTACTTTTTATATATATATGTTAGAGGTACTCGTATGTTAGAATGATGGTAATAAGTCTGTAAAATAGGCGACTTATTGATTTATTACAAATAATTATTTATACATGTGTTTATAAGTGTAAAGTTTAGAAATATTAACCCTATTTGAAAGTCTAGGTATATTGATGATAATGCGATATAACAATATAATACTTTTTGTGAGAACATTGGACAAGCATATGCAAGCCTTAAGGTTTTTGGCAAATTAATGACATCAAATTTATCTATAATAGTTCTGGATGTTCTATTATCCTCATACAAATGGGTTATTTCTTTGTGGTTTGAATACTATTTAAACTTTTGTTATAAACATAAGTAATTCTCTAGAGCACCTACCAACAAGTGATTCATATAAATGTTGGTGGCACTACGACAATGGCGTACTTCACATTGTTTTTGTTGTCATTTCAAACCAAAAAAAAGTATTGGAAATATTTGTTCGTTTATTTATATATTTATTAATGTAATTTATAGTTTATATAATTTAATAACGTGATAAATAACAGTATTAAGTTTACCAACGTTTTTTAACACTTTGGCACTATAACTTGTAAACCTAATAGTGTTTGTAAATGCGGTTATGATTTGATTGTCAACAAGTAGATTTACTTTGAAATTTTCCTAATTAATTAGAGCAATACGAGGTTTGCAGTTTTATAATTGATATCCAGGCTTTATTTTAAGTTATTTTCAGGTAGTGTCAGTGTGTAGTTTTGCATCAGTATTAAGTTTACCAATGTTTTTTAACACTTTGGAGCTAAAACTTGTAAACCTATAGTGTTTGTAAATGCGGTTATGATTTGATTGTCAACAAGTAGATTTACTTTGAAATTTTCCTAATTAATAAGTGCAATACGAGGTTTGCAGTTTTATAATTGATATCCAGGCTTTATTTTAAGTTATATTCAGCTAGTGTCAGTGTGTAGTTTTAATCAATTAGTTTAAAAATGTTGCTATGTAATTTATGTCACTGACAGATACAAAATTCAAATTGGTGAAATATATGTTTAATTAACGTGTGCGATTGAGGTTTCGCATATTTATTGTGTAAAGCATAATGTTGTACTTCACTTTTAGTGTGGTTTTAATAATTTGCTTCAAAATTGTTTGATGCTGTAGTAATTCCTAAATCAATTTCATTAGCTGTTATAATGCCTAATTTCTGAAGGAAAAGTGTTTAAAAGCGTGCGGAATTGTGTTTTAACTCGGTTTATCATATTTATCAAGGCATTTCGCCCATATCGTCGTCTGATTTAAACAGAAATTTCGAATGGGATTTATGTTTTCCTTCAGGTGATGTTTTTGTTCAGCATTTGCATCCGCCATTTTGAATCCGTGCAACAGCTATTAAACTAGCTACTAATCAGCTCGCAGCTCATTAGCGCGTCAGCATCCGAACTGTTAACATCTCCGCGCAGTGCAGTGCAACAAATTAGTGCATATTATTATTTTAAATCAAAACTGTGTCTAAAAAGTGTGTTCTCGTGTGCAACGAGCATTTAAAAGAAGGTAAGTGCTGCTATTTTGTATTATTTTGCACAAATATTGCATTTTACTATCACGACAAGTGACGCCGTCTGGTTCTGATGCCAACGATATTTTGCGTGTTTTAAAATGTTGTATCCATGCTTTATTTGTTCATTTACGATAAATATATGTATGTTTATTTGATATTATTGCACTTTTTTCTATTATTTATTGAGATTTTTGCACTTTTTTTGCAATTTAAAATTTGCGTTTTTGGATAATCCAAGATGGCGGCCATAACCATAACCGATGGTTTTGTTCTGTTTTGAACAATACAGTCGTTTCCACGACGTATTAATAATGAAAATTCGATACATTTTGATCTGGTCTATCTATTTAGATATCAAAAATAGGTCTGTACAGTTTTTTTTGCAAAAAAGCAAACTCAAGTTTTTTGGTGTTGTACCGAAAGAAAATGGCGGCTCTCAACTGTCATCTAACGAAAGTTTGAATTGAAATTTTAGCAATACAATCGTATCTGCAATTATAATGTAATTTCATTCGCAAATCAATTTCATTTCACAAACTGAATACAATTTTGTATGAAAATTTCAAATTATTTGCAATTTTTGCAAAATACTAATCAACCTTCCTGTTGAATAAAGTTCTGTTCATATTGTTTTCATTATCATAAATTCTTTGTATTGAACAAAAATTACATACACTGTTAGAAGATCTGTCCTTTTTTTCTATTAATACTTCAATTTTATGATAAATATAGCAACGATACTATTATTTGGACGTTTGCTATTTTTATTATATTTTTGAAGATGACCAGCGACGATATTATAAATTTGATGTTTGCCGCTTTCTATTATTTTTGGCAACGATATTATAAATTGGACGTTTGCCGCTTTTTATTATTTTTGGCAACGATATTATAAATTGGACGTTTGCCGCTTTTTATTATTTACACAATATTATTAACCGGACTTTTGCTGTTTTTATTATATGTTTGGCAACGATATTACAAATTGGACGTTTGCCGTTTTTATTATATTTTTAGCAACGATATTATAAATTGGACGTTTGCTATTTTTATTATATGTTTGGCAACGATATTATAAATTGGACGTTTGCTATTTTTTATTATATTTTTAGCAACGATATTATAAATTGGACGTTTGCTATTTTTATTATATGTTTGGCAACGATATTATAAATTGGACGTTTGCTATTTTTTATCATATTTTTAGCAACGATATTATAAATTGGACGTTTGCTATTGTTATTGTTATATTTTTGGCAACGATATTACATATTGGGCGTTTGCCATTTTTTATCATATTTTTAGCAACGATATTATAAATTGGACGTTTGCCGTTTTTATCATATTTTTAGCAACGATATTATAAATTCGACGTTTGCTATTTTTATTATATTTTTGGCAACGATATTATAAATTGCATGTTTGCCATTTTTTATCATATTTTAGCAACGATATTATAAATTGGACGTTTGCTGTTCTTATTATATTTTTAGCAACGATATTATAAATTAGACGCTTGCTGTTCTCAACTAAAATAAAATCTAAACAATAATTATTACTATTTTAAATAGTAATTCCATTTATGAATTGAAGTCTCTTTTAATTACAGATATGAGCCATCATCAGGAACAATGATGTCAAAGTAGATCCTCTGGAACATCCAAGGTCCTCAATATTAAGATCTTCATCAGTGATGGAAATTATCAGGTACTAATATAGTAATTGGACTTTTGCTGTTTTTATATTTTTGGCAACGATATTATAAATTGGACGTTTGCCATTTTTATCATATTTTTAGCAACGATATTATAAATTGTACGTTCGCTATTTTTTATTATATGTTTGGCAACGATATTATAAATTGGACGTTTGCTATGTATTATTATAGGTTTGGCAACGATATTACAAATTGGACGTTTGCCGCTTTTATTATATTCTTGGCAACGATATTATAAATTGGGCGTTTGCCATTTTTTATCATATTTTTAGCAACGATATTATAAATTGGACGTTTGCTATTTTTTATTATATGTTTGGCAACGATAATATAAATTGGACGTTTGCTATTTTTTATCATATTTTTAGCAACGATATTATAAATTGGACGTTTGCTATTGTTATTATATATTTGGCAACGATATTACAAAATGGACGTTTGCCATTTTTTATCATATTTTTAGCAACGATATTATAAATTGGACGTTTGCTATTTTTATTATATGTTTGGCAACGATATTATAAATTGGACGTTTGCCATTTTTATCATATTTTTAGCAACAATATTATAAATTGTACGTACGCTATTTTTTATTATATGTTTGGCAACGATATTATAAATTGGACGTTTGCTATGTATTATTATAGGTTTGGCAACGATATTACAAATTGGACGTTTGCCGCTTTTATTATATTCTTGGCAACGATATTATAAATTGGGCGTTTGCCATTTTTTATCATATTTTTAGCAACGATATTATAAATTGGACGTTTGCTATTTTTTATTATATGTTTGGCAACGATAATATAAATTGGACGTTTGCTATTTTTTATCATATTTTTAGCAACGATATTATAAATTGGACGTTTGCTATTTTTATTATATGTTTGGCAACGATATTATAAATTGGACGTTTGCTATTTTTTATCATATTTTTAGCAACGATATTATAAATTGGACGTTTGCTATTGTTATTATATTTTTGGCAACGATATTACAAAATAGACGTTTGCCATTTTTTATCATATTTTTAGCAACGATATTATAAATTGGACGTTTGCTATTTTTATTATATGTTTGGCAACGATATTATAAATTGGACGTTTGCTGTTCTTATTATATTTTTAGCAACGATATTATAAATTAGACGCTTGCTGTTCTCAACTAAAATAAAATCTAAACAATAATTATTACTATTTTAAATAGTAATTCCATTTATTAATTGAAGTCTCTTTTATTTACAGATATGAGCCATCATCAGGAACAATGACGTCAAAGTAGATCCTCTGGAACATCCAAGATCCTCAATATTAAGATCTTCATCAGTGATGGAAATTATCAGGTACTAATATAGTACAAAATATTATTAATTGGTCTTTGGCTGTTTTTATTATATGTTAGTCAACGATATCATAAATTGGACGTTTGCCGTTTTTATTATATTTTTGGCAACGATATTAGAAATTGGACGTTTGCCGTTTTTATTATATTTTTGGCAACGATATTATAAATTGGACGTTTGCCGTTTTTATTATGTTTGGCAACGATATTATAAATTGGACGTTTGCCGCTTTTTATTATTTTTGGCAACGATATTATAAATTGGACGTTTGCCGTTTTTATTATATGTTTGGCAACGATATTATAAATTGGGCGTTTGCTATTTTTTATTATATTTATGGTAACGATATTATAAATTGGCCGTCTGCTATTTTTTATTATATGTTTGGCAACGATATTATAAATTGGACGTTTGCTATTTTTATTATATGTTTGGCAACGATATTATAAATTGGACGTTTGCTATTTTTTATTATATTTATGGTAACGATATTATAAATTGGACGTTTGCTATTTTTTATTATATTTATGGCAACGATATTATAAATTGGCCGTCTGCTATTTTTTATTATATGTTTGGCAACGATATTATAAATTGGACGTTTGCTGCTCTTATTATATTTTTGGCAACGATATTATAAATTGGACGTTTGCTGTTCTCAACTAAAATAAAATCCAAAACAATAATTATTACTATTTTGAATAGTAATTCAATTAAATAATTGGAGTTTATTTTAATTACAGATATGAGCCATCATCAGGAACAATGATATGAAAATCCTCTAGAACAGCCAAGATCCTCAATATAAGGATCCTCATCAGCGATGGACAAAATCAGGTACAAATATATTGATTATTTATTTATTTATTATGTTATTAATTGGAAGTTAGTTATTTTTATAATTTTTTTGGCAACGATATTATAAATTGGACGTAAGACGTTTGCTGCCATAGATAAACAAGTATAAAGTTTGCTGCTCTTATTATATTTTTGGCAAGATGGCGCTTCTGCGTTGAAATGTCAAACTGACATTTGAGCAATTGATGAACAGTCATTCTCTTTGTGTTTAATGTGCTTAATAAACTGAAAATTTAATAAAGATAATTTATTTAACTTACTAATAAGATGCAAGGTAAATTTTGTGTGTTTATGTTTAACTGTGCTTGCAATTATTTCGAATATTGTTTTCAGAATCTACAAGGCCTGAGTTATATGAAGAGGTGAAATTATATAGAAATGCTCGTGAGAGAGAGAAGTATGTGATAATGTATTTTCCTAAATATTTTAGATCATTTATTGGTAAAAGTAAGGTTTGTAAAAGTACTGCAGCAATTGCAATTTATAAAAAACACTCATTGAGTGGACATGGTTTATATTCATCTAAATATTCGTGCATATCAGTTTTTCATATTTTCAGATATTATATGATTTTCCTAGTTAAGAATGAAATTTTATAAATACTGTATTACTTGACTATACTTGACTATCAATTCAGAATTATTTACAGTAATCATGATAATTTTTTGTTATAGGCACGATAATATGACAGATTTGTATGCTGTTATTAGTACAATGCAACATTTAGAAAAGGCTTACATAAGAGACTGTGTTACACCTCAGGTAATTTATAAATAATTTTCTTGTTCTGAAGAGTGCCTAATATAAACTTAACATCTATTAAGTTTCTTATATATATATATATATATATATATATATATATATATCTTTACTAGGAATATACAGCAGCATGTTCAAAGCTGCTAGTTCAATATCGGGCAGCATTCAAACAAGTTCAAGGTGATGATTTCCCTAATGTTGAAGCATTTATAAATAAGTACAAGGTAAACTTTCTTATGACGTATGTACATTAATATCATGTTTATCTAACAATATTTTATCTTATTAGCTAGACTGTCCTGCAGCTTTAGAACGTATTAAAGAAGATCGACCAATTACTATCAAAGATGATAAAGGCAATACAAGTAAATGTATTGCTGATATTGTTTCAGTAAGTTTCTTTATGTTTGAATTTATGAAGAAAGAGTCAACAAAATAATTTGTAGCCAAATATTATCTTTTTGATTCAATTTATTTAAGTATTTTTACATATCACAAACATTTGAATTTGTGGTGCATACAATCAATCTAATCATTTGAATAAACCAATATATTTATTAAATTAGGCACAGATATTATAAAAGTTATTATTATTTTAATATATAACATACATTCTTTTAAATATAAATTTTAGCTATTTATAACTCTGATGGACAAATTACGTTTACAAATACGTGCTATGGATGAACTTCATCCAGATGTCAGAGACCTGGTAGAAACCATGTCAAGATTGAGTTTGTTACCTGCTGATTTCGAAGGAAAACTAAAGGTTTCTTGAAAAATAATAGGCTATCACACAAAACTTAAAAGATTTTAACTATAATTTGAATTTTTCAGATTGGATCTTGGCTATCTCGATTGAATAATATGCAAGCCTCTGATGAATTGTCTGATTCAGAAGTCAGACAGCTATTATTTGATTTAGAAAGCTCATATGATGCTTTTAATAAAACTCTTCATCAAACTTAGTTTTGAAATAACAGTTATATATATGATAGGTATAAGATATGATATTATAATGGAAAATGAATTTATTCAGTGTATCTATAATCGCCGTTTTATTCAGTTAAAATAAATATGTATATACTTACATGAAAATTCAAGTATGTATATATATATATATATATATATATATATATATTGTAGAGCTTTGAACAAAGAATCCAAAAATTAATAAAGAAAAAAAAGTTTTTTAATAAATTATTTCTTTATTTATTTATTTACTGTCGACGTTTTGGAACTAGGTATGTCCCATCTACAGGACATCTGTCAAGAAACATGATCTTGATAAAATTTAAGCAAACAATATGTTTAAGAAAAACAGAAAATGGTGAATTTTTTATATAAAATGAATAAATAATGGAAAAAATAATGTACAGAAATATGGCATATAATCAAAATGAAAATGATAAAAATAAATGATTGTATTAACAGAATATTAGAAATGTTAAAAATCTGAAAGTTTTAAAAAAGGTATTTTTAATACCTTTATTTTTAACCAATTTGTTTTTGCTCTTTGGGTTCATTCTACGTTTGAATTGTTGGTACCATTGGTCGGCCGCGTGTTTCTAAAACCGATGTTACTTGACAGAAAGTACGTCAAGCATCGGGTTCAGTAATGTTGCTTTTAATAAAATTGTAATTATTATAATTCCTATACGTTATTTACGTATATAATTTGAATTTACACAACACCTGATGAATAAATCATTTCCATATAACAACATAGAGAATGGTTGAAGAAATAAATGAATTCGCTAATGATCAGGTATGCTAATATAACCTAACTTAAAGAGTTGGGTATTTTATATTAGATAATTATATTGAATTTCTTTTTATTTTCTGTATTCAACTCGGAAGTATATTTGAAAGGAAAGATGAAAGAGTGTACTTAGTGATACTTTATTGAATGTTATAAAATAGTGTGGTGGTAGATAATAGTTAACATGTGTGTCATTGTTTTATACCACCAACTCAATGATTTCTCATAATTATGCATTATTGCCTTGTAATTGGTTTATTACATATTATGATTTTATTTTTGACATCTTTTTGTCTAGGCCCAATTTGACCTGCAAATGACTGATATAGAAGAGCGTTTATATAGTCATATATATCATAATTCTAGTGCACATCTAATTAATGATATATCTTTAAATGCTGAAATCCAAGATGACAAATCTTTTGTATGTGGAACATCCAATGTGACAAAATCGCAGAAGGAAGATAATATTATCACAATTTTATCAAATGATAGCGATGATGATATTGTCGAAATAGTTGAAAAGAAACCCATTGCATTGTCATAGATAGCGACAATGAAGGAAAAAATCATGCAAATGGAAAAAATGAAAGTTTTGTAATACCAGATCGTGGAAGATATCTGAATAATCCCAATCACCAGACTGATAATAAAAAGAAAAACACAATTTTAGGTAAAAATAAAATACAAGCAAATAAGACTAGGAATAGAAATAATATGAAGCTCGCCAATAGTTCAAAGCAACCACGTTTTAACGTGTCTATCAGCAAATCATTGGATCCTCATTTAATTTCTGGAGATTACTCTCAATTTAATCATAACTCCATCATTGCTAATATGATAAAAGATCGAAATAAATGGAAAATCAATTACACTGATATGCAAGGTCCTTCAATTAATAACCGAGAAAAACGAGTTCGATGTCATAATTGTCATCAGGACTGGTCATGTCAAGCTAAGTTGTCCTGATCCTATAAAAGGTGAAATATGTTACATGTGTGGCTTACAAGGACATTTGGAGCCTAGATGCCCTAAGAGAATGTGTTTAGCATGTGGAGTTCCTTCATTTGCATTCGTCATTGGATGCCACAAATGCCGTGATAGACATAGATTAGTATGTTCAATGTGCAACATGGCTGGCCATAATGAAAATACATGTCCTGATCTGTGGAGAAGATATCATAGAAGCATTGACCAACGAAGTCACCCATAGTCCAGCATTCAGGTTTAAAGGATACACGAAATTTGTTCTGCAGCAATTGCTCAGCTCGTGGGCATATTTATGACAATTGCAGTAAATTAAGAATAAATGAGCATAGTTTAAGTCTACCAAATATTGTTAAATATGATGCAGTTCTGCCCATTCAATCTGTGAACCTTAACAATAATTCCAAGAGCAGTCTTAATAATGGCAATTTTAATACTGCTGATGTAAATAGAATTAATGGACATGTATATTTAAATAAGTCAAATAATATGGATGTTAGAACTTCTAATGAATGTTTAGATGCAGCAAACCAAGTTTCTTCATCTAATGTGAATAATATGAATGGAGGTGTTAGTCCTGATATCAAAGATTCATTACAAAAAGAGCATCAAAGTTTAAATGCAGATAATACAGATACTGATAATAACTCTTTGGTTGACTCCGAGCCACAAATTTTTGACTTTATGAGGCCAGCGAATATAATATACCAGGTAGTGGTGCTGTTTGTATTGTTTTGATAAGTATACTGTACAAGTGCTAATGAAACCTGAAGGTGCAAAATTTTTACATAACGTTTCGAAAAGCCTCAGTACCAAGGTAGAGATTCAATTGTCAAGATATGGAGGTTTACTTTATGTAAATGACCATACAAAGGAACAGCCTTTCAGAAAGCATTTGAAAGACTGGATTAAAGCTGTTAACACCAAATTACTGTCTACACATACTTATGTTAAGCTTCCAAATAAAACTAAATCTTTAATAAATTTTATTCAATCATTAAAGGCTACTCCGTGTAGACAAATTTCAAATCCATCTTCAAAATATAGAACTCTATTAAATATAACAAATAATGATTATAGTGTTATTAGCAACAAGCAAGTAAAACTCTACCACAAAACTATCAGACAATTAAATTTGTTTTTCTTTGAACAAAATGGGCTCAGAGAAGGTGAATTCCATGCAAATAAATTAAACGAATTAGTGAAACAATTAGATACAATTTCTGAAACTGTTATTCCGAAAGAGTTATATGAAGAAATTAAAAGCCATTATGACTATATATTTACAACTGACCATGGAAATTATAAAGAATTGATAGAATTATATAGAAAGAAGAAAAATAGAAACATTTCATCGATCACTTCTGATAAATAATAAAATCCGTGATAAATTTTTATGTTACATATTTACTTATGCAGTGTATTCAGAATTGAAACTGTTTTTTCTTAAATAAAATAATATATTTATATGTACAATTTTATAAAAATAATTGCAATGTTTGTGAATCATTGAGACGTTATGTGTTTTGTTTATTATTGCTATGAATTATATTTTCCTCTATTATAAATTGTTTAGAAAGATGATTATATGATATATTTCCCTATATATCTATGTACAAAAGAATCAGTGGACAAAATCGTTATATAAAAAAATATATACAAATGATTATTAATCACATTGAAATTTATTTTTATTAGTGTTTATTGTAATTCATATATATATATAAATTATGAATGATTGTACTACTATGAATTTGAATTAAACTACATATATTTTTATGTTTTTATTTGTAAATATCTGGCTTCATTTCTGAAACATCAGAACTATAATATATATAATAATACAGATATTATAAGTATGTTCGAAAAATATCAATTGGTTTATCCCATTGATTAATTTTTAGTAAAAGTGATTTTTTTTTCTTTCTATTTAACAAAAATCACTGATTTGAGATGTCTTATTTATTTCATGTTAACTATTATATAAAAAATAAAGAATTTTATATGATAATGTATAAATACAATAAGATGTAATTTTATTAATATAAATTGCATATAACTCTTGTATATAAAAATTAATGCTCAAGTCTGTTTTGAAAAAATATATAAATATGTCAAAAGACTTTCCTTTTTTTAATATTTTGAAAAATGTAGTCAAATACAAATATTGTGCAAAGTTCTTATTGATATATGCAATGTAAATAATTTTTTTATATAAAATATTATTATTTAAAAGTTTTTTTTGCTAAGTTTTGTGAAAGAATTATCAAGAACATTGGAAAGTTATTTTTATGCTGTCAAAATCTTGTATTGAATTGAGTGTGGACATAAATCTAAATACTG